GATTAATTAAATATAATGACTGCACCCCTCATCTCCTCCCGTCCCCGCCCCCGGTCATGACTGATGAACCGGCTAAGACAATATCTGTCTTGTGAGCCGTAAACCGAATGCAGACATAGATGCATGACCACGCTCGGGACATTGTGATCACACGAGAATAAACTATATGTGTGTATGTGTCACGCCGGATTATTCGTCGTTAGTTTCGTTGGACTGTAATAAAGCGATCAGTTTATGCAAACTGAAAATCGAGAGAAATCGCAAGAATTTTACTAGTCGCACGTAATACGCCACGCCGTAATGTAATTTTATTTTCAATAAAAGTATTCACTGAGAAAAGTTTCCATCTGCTAAACCAATTAAGTTTCCGAGGGTTAAGTTTTCCGATTAAATTACCGATAAAATTTGATCGAAAAATCGATCATATTTTTCACCGGATATACAATTTAATCAGATATGTCCGTTTGTTATTATGCAATTGGATTATATTTACTCAAATATTTGTCTCAGAGTTTGCATAATACAATTATTTACTCAAATTTTTTATTCTTATTTTAATGACGCAGTTCGCACGAGTAATGCAAATAAATATTTTTAACGTACAAGATGAACACATACGCGCATATACAAGTGTAAAAAATTCTAATTGCGTCAGCTGATAAATAAAATAGGAAGACAATGAGATCGCTGTAAGCGCTTTTAAAATTTCCTGCAAGACCGTACCTATATGTATTGCACAAGAAAAGATGCACCTTCGGAGCACCCGGTGAGTTTATAAACTCGCTCACGCGTTATATACGCATAGATTTGTCTTCGCTCGATGTCTCGCGCTGTTAGTAAGCAACAGAAGGTGGATGGAAAGCATCATTCAGTCCGTGCCTCCTAAGTACACGAAAGAGCCGCGAGTCCACCTTTATGGTAGTTATTAATATCAAATAGTCAGCCACCGTGCCCATTACGGGCATAATGGGACACCATTTTTTGCCGCGACAATGAGGCACCCCGTTAAAATGCTCGATGTATTTGCATTATTTATGCGGATGATTAAGCTACGTTAATATATTCAACGGCGCGGCGTAAAACAGAATGATGTTAGACAAAGATCGCGTATAAATAGCACGTACATATGTATACACCGAAATGCGGAGGCTCGTGAAAGATTAGATCCGCATATACCTACACCGCCAATGTAAAGCAAAATTGAACCCTGGTCTCAAGTTGGAACTGTTGATCATTTTTCCTTTCTGTGAGGGAGCATAAATCATCTCAGTTGCATATATCGAAGTTACCATAGCGCTTTGAAGGATATGCATATGTTCTACTTCCTTATTTGATTAATTACTACTCCACGAGTTGTAAAATATCGTTAATCATTCGTTCGACACTTTTCTTATTTACCAAAGTGTAAAGGAGGTATTTAAATAAAAATGAAAACTCGGCTTTTACTTCGTCTGGGATATTGATTCCCATATGCCAAGATTAAATATGCCCCGTCAGTTTCATATAAATAGCATAAGTTGCGGAAAGATTAGAGACTGTAAATGTTTTAATAGCAATGAAAGCAATGTATTTAATTGGACTTAATTGGTTAGAGATTTTAAGAAAATGTAAAGCCAACGGAAAAAATATTTTATATATGTATAGTTTTCTTTCAGCAAATCAATTGTCACGTATACTTTCGTAAAATTCGAATTATTCGCAATTACGTGAACTCGTGACATAAACGTTTAATTGAAATAAAACTTCTTGTTGATCCAACTGGCAATATAATTAATTATAAAATATAAAAAAAATTCTTTCCGTGTAGTATATAACGCAGGTCGATAATTCTCTATTCAGAAATAACAAAACGTTGGGCTTTGCTCCTAATCTATGGTGTATCACGCACTATGGTATTTGTCCGATCTGTCTCCGAAACTCGTAGTTTCTCACTAGCTGAATTCGTACACACAATAGGCATGGGACGAAGTCTGCTTGGACAATTGGAAGATAAGTAGATTTCTGACAGAAATGAAAAATCATTCTGTATAAAAGAAAAAACTTGCTAGCGAAATAGCATTCATTCTGCATCGTTACTGTGCACTTTTATCAATGCCCACAAAAATGTTAAGACATACAATATACTTTGTCGCTCTAGTTATTTATTCGCGTTTATTTATTCTGTTTTACACAAACATCTAAAACATTGGTACGTGATGTGAAGTAACTTGTTGAGTCTCAAAATATTATAAATTGTAGTTAGAAATAAACTAATAATTTAATCTAAAAATTTTGTTTAATATTAGCAAATGAGAAAGTTTTTTTAAGTCTGTTATAATCTGTCTAGCAAAGTTAATAGTAATGCAAGTATTATGATAACTTTTTAATTTCATTTTATATTCAACTGGCATTTCACAATCAACTTTCGTTAGAAAATTAATTTTCACAATTAATTTTCATCAGAAGAAATAACATTAAAAGTATTAAAAGCATTTATTTTGTCCTTACTTAGCGTCGCTGGATAAACGTTTGCTGCATCATCTGTAAAAAGGGTTAGACAATTTAATACATCCTAATTCGATTAGAATTAGATTAGACACTAATTAAATTAAATTTCTGTCAGACATTATCTTGTATCTTTCTCGTTCATTTTCTTACGCAATTGTATCGAGCATTTGCACTCGGTTAAAGCCGATATTCACCATATACGAGAAACTTAAAAATATTTGATGATACGATAATTACTACAAGAACAAGTTTTATCGTAATTGCCGGTTAGTGTAAAGGAGAATAAAAAAGGAAGGTGATGATGGATGACATCGCTGATAACGCGGCGATAAATAATTACGTGTGCGCACGCGAAAGTCACATGCGAGAGGTAAACCGCTGAGGGCATTGTGGTGTACAGATTTGCGGCGTTACTGGGCATTACTTGGGCATTAGACCTTGCTGGGACATTATGGAGATAAAATAAGATGAAACAAGATAAATAAGATAACATAACATAATAAAATAAAGTAATACCCATTTGGTAGGAGTTGGTGTACATGATTTTGGTCAGCGGTTTACCCCTCGGTCACATTTAGAACCAACAATGTAGCGAATAAAGAGAGAACGAATGAGTGCTGTTTCTGTGTATGTCACGTCCCAGAGAACATGCACGTCTAAAAAACATCTTTAAGACGTCTATTAGACATCTTTTAGACATAAGAATCATCAATTCGAACACTGAGGCATGTGGTTACACCTCTCTAGCGTTAAGAGGATCGTGAGCTTAAAGTGTCCGCGAGCTCCAGTGTCTCATATTATAAGCCCAATACCCGGAAAAAAATGGAAAAATCATATATGTCTCAATCGCGTAATATCTAATTATATCTCATGAGCTCTAGTTCTAAAAATCATCAGATGCTTAGAGATTTGAGACTTTCCTTGAATGTTCGAGGTTATCTATCGAGATCTAAATCTATAATTAAATGCCCTAAGAGAACCTGATTAGATCTCAATAGATAATGACATTGAATATTCAATAAAAGTGTCAGATCTCTGATGATTTTAGAATTGAATATTACATGCTTGAGACATACCTATACAATGAGATATTTCCATTTTACCTGGGCATCTCTACATATGCATATGTAAACAAAAAATTATTTAAAATACCTGTTACATTAAGCGTGAATCATTATTATTGCAAGTATGGCCGCCTTATCTTAATCAGATTTCGTTCGCTCGCAAGTGGCATCTGTTCTCAGGCTTCGATTGTTCTTGATTATCACGTACCTATCATCAACTGCCGCACGATAAAAACTAAACGTAACGTTTTAACAGTTAAATTAAAAACAACAAAAAAGGTAACAGGCTTATAAAATCGCCGCATATAGTTATACGTTCCAAATGACACTTACGTATCAAAGGATAGGAGAGTACTTATTCGTGCGCGTAGAACGGCATAAAATCACGGAATGCCGCTGCGCGCCGTTTCGCGATCCACGGGGCGTGAACTGTACGCGGGGTCTCGACATGCGCCTTGATAGGCGCAACGCCTATCCGCCCGCGGTAAATTAACGAACACCTCCCACTTCGGTGGCCTCCAATGACCGGCGAGACCGTCAGTGCCAATGGCACGCTGGTAACCGCCAGAGTACGTTCGCCAGTGGTAGACCAAGGCTCGCATTCGTGCCGTCAGGACGGTTCAGAAGGGGTAGGAGGCGGTCTCATCCACAGAGGGGCGGCGAAACACCAGGTTGGACGGTCGCAGGTCGCATGTGGCGTGGTTGAGCCGCGGTGAAACGAGGGGGGAACGAGAAACGCGCGTGGCTAGCAGAGGAAGAAGGGGAATCCGTCGGGACTCCGAAATCGGACGCGACTTGCCTCGGTGGGAGTCCTTTACTTTCAGTCCCGCTGTGAACGCAGCGAGGAGCACAACGCGTGTTTTATCTTCACCGCACGACACACCCGGGACGTCCGGTGCGCCCGGTCGGCTGTCGTCGCGTTATCACCATCATCGTTTCGTTCGGCACCGGGAGATATTGTGTTGATTTAAACGAATATCGAGAATACGTGATACGGAGTCGCGCGCGAATGACGGAAAACGGATGACCAATCGTTGAACGCCGCGCATTCCGAGGGCCATCGTGAAAAGTGTTGTAATTCGCACGTGACATCTTCAAGCGGGTTCGTCATGTTGTACGTGAAATGTGAGATCGATCGTTAATTGGGACAGCATGGAACTTGTGTTGACATGGAAATATAAATTTTACGAGATATGGATTTTACAAAAGCGTAGAACAGGCGGCTTAAAGTAACACTAGTGATTGTAGAATTAAGTGCACCGTGGCCTGTGGTACGCCCTCTGTGTCAAATACTCAATTGTAGTCGACGATATCTCAATCCGTTCCAGTTAAGTCCAACGGCCGTGAAAAATGGTTGAAACTTTTCCCTCGCGGGACGACGCGATCTAAGTGACATCGTCGTCGACAGCGTTTGTTGGTGATACTTGTGACGTCACGCCAGTCACGATAATGAGTTTTATAAACAATTTGTCTTCCCACCCGCACGTCGCCATGGGCATCAAGCTGTCACCCGAAAGTGGCGGAGCAACCGATCACGGTGTGAGCGCCGTTCAGCCGCCGGTGGAGGCGCCATCCCAGCAACACCACCATTTCCATCCTCAAAGCTACCCGCCGCATCACCCTCACGCGGTTCCTCACATGGCGCCTCACATAGGCCATCACATGGGCCATCCCGGTTACCCGCGCGAATTCCTCATCCGGCGGGACCACGATATGTCGACGCCAAGTTCTAGTACCGCCGACAGCAGCGGACTGGGCCTGTTCACGCAGTTGCATCACGATGGCACGGCCGCGACGATGCAGCAGTTTCCCCATCACCCGGGCCAGCATCCGCTAGCCGCCAGCCACTATCCCGGACACTATTCCCAGGACACCAGACCGCTGTCCTCGCATCCTCACCAGTACATCCCGTCTCCGCACATGGCGCCGCCGGCCGCCCTCCACCCCCAACAACACCCCACGATGAACCATCCGAGTCATCATCATAGCGCCTTCCTCAGATTCATGAGGCCCAACGGCGTCGGCGTCGGTGTCGGCGGCGCCGCCGGCCACGCGGGCAACCTCGCCGGCAGCGGCCGGCGCGAGGACATTACCTGCATGTGGATGGACCCTGGTCCTGACCCGACGTTGCCGGAAAACCGCGGGGAATTGTGCGGCAAGATTTTCAACACCCTCCACGACATCGTGTCGCACCTGACAGTGGAGCACGTGGGCGGACCTGAGTGCACAACGCACGCGTGTTTCTGGCAGGGTTGCGTGCGTAACGGCAAAGCCTTCAAGGCCAAGTACAAACTCGTGAATCACATACGAGTGCACACCGGGGAGAAACCGTTCTCGTGTCCGTTTCCAAATTGCGGCAAAGTCTTCGCGAGGTCCGAAAATCTCAAGATACACAAGAGGACGCACACCGGTGAGTACTGGCCGTTGTCATCTGCTACTTTCCTTTCGCCTCCCGCTTAAGCCACCACTGTCTCTTTTCTCAGCGAATTTTATTCACCTCGTCCACTCGATTTTATCACGGCGCGCGTACGACGATTTTCGTGCAGTCGAAATAACTGACGTGATGTTGATGTCGAACGACAAAATCTAATTAGCCTTACAGATTTTATCTACGCGAGACATCGAAAAAAAAAGAACGCAGCATATACATACGAGATAGCTTTCGTTTTTGTTCTCTCGGATTCCGACCCCGAGAATTTTTCGGATCCCATCAACGTGACGCGCTCACGATCCAGATGCCCGGGTTACCCTCACAGATCTGAATCGGAATCTCGAATGACCTTTCCACGAACCGATTCATCTCGGCGTCTGGAAAGCCGTATTAGCTCCGTTTTCGAGATCTGCGGCAAACCTCGAAATCGCATAAATTATAACCGTACGAGCCAGCTACCTCTTCGTGGCGTGAGTCACTCCGAAATCTCGCCGGAACTTGACCGAGCGTGAGAATGATTAATACGGGAACCGACCGTTTGCTACGTCGCGAAGATTACGCGGGTAGACAAAAGGAGGAGATTTTCTGTGTCGTTAGCTCACTTTCAATTGCCACAAAGCGAGACGTCGCGAAGCTCACCGTTAAAATCGCATAAATAATCGTAAGGGCAGTTATTACTGTCGCTGTGCCTCTCTGCTCTTTATCCCGTGGTCTTATTTGTTTTTTCACTTGCTTGTCTCATCCACGAGACGCCCCCGGCGCCTTGAGCCGTTTCAATATAATCAACCAGCTATTTACGATGACAAGAATTTTTCGGGGCGCAATTAAGAAATTACCGGGCCATATATCGTGTCGTTTTATGCCTGCGGCGCGCTGGACATTGTATTTACATATTTATTCGTCAGCCGGGCGTCCCATTGGCCGATGCGACGGCTAAGACACTAGGCGTTAGCCGTGTCGTTGCTGGGTCTGCTGCTGTTAGCGGATTCCTTTCTAAAGTTATTAATTCCATCGTGTAGTTTGTTTGCCACGAATTTGCCTATGTCTTTCTTTTATTATAATTATTTTACAGTAACCCGGGTAGGAAATAAATCACGTATAACCAGTTGCTGACCATAATCTTATTCATTGTCTACTCGGAAAGTCCTATTGCCATACGGCATGATATTAACATCAACAAAATGAATAAATATAAAGAAAACGAATAAACCTACAAAAGTTTATGATTCGAGCAGGTAATAATATCGTCCGCTTAAAGAACAAATCGGAACAAATACAATTATATCGTCTTTGTTAAGAAGCAGCCAGTAAAATATTACATTAAAACTAATATAATTTAATATACGATAATAATTGTTCTTTGTGTTCATAATAATATAGAAATAAATTAAATTACAATGTAGACTTCTCAAGATAGTAAAAATTCAACTCACTGCTCAGCTTTGAAAATATTGCACGAAGTAATCTAAAATGATCTATAATAAAGTACAGAATCATATCTTTTTAAAATATATATTTTATCAATCGTATAGTAATAGTATAATAATTGTTAGTTCTGCGCTTGATGCAACAGTTTAGAAATTACACGTAAATTTCTTATCTAATTTGGCTTGATTTAACCTCCAGCCCTAATAAAAATGGAAAGGAAAAAAAGACGATCGTAAACAAAGAAAGTAAAGAAAATATAATTATATAAAACACCAGATATCACCGGTAATATCACGCAACTCTTGGCTAGCTCGGAGAAATCTATCATCCCCTTCGCGTAATCTAGAAACACGTGCGGTAACATGTCGGATGTGTATACTATTTTGCGCGCACCCACCCGCTCTTAATGACTTTTAATAATGAAATCGCACAGGGGGTATGCATCCGGAGGCACATCAACAGCCGCAGGTGCCCGTATTTTCGTTCGCACGATGCGAATTCGTGCGCTCATCGTCATATCCACCCCGTGCTCAGGGGGCAGTATATCACGTGTGATTAAATTTCGTTTTCATTTATAACAAACGCCACCCTTCCGACGCCATTGTGGAGTGTGAGCTCTCTCTCTCCCATGGCCTCCCCTCTCAACGGTACAGTTGACACTTTGGGACGCCCAGATCGACATTGTGCCACCCTCCGTCGCAGATTGGGATATATATTGTTATAACAACTATTGTCCTTTATTGAGCGCTTCAAGGGTTTAAGCCAGAATAAACGTCCGAAATCAAATCTTTTTGTGAAAGTTTTACGTTCTCGGGAATAATAGGTATCTTTAAAAGTTTAGATCTACAGTTGCAACATTTACGAAAGGAGAATGATAATCTGCTAAATTTTTATGTCTACGGGTTTTATTATTTTATCTATTTTATTATTTACATATTTTAAATTTATATTTTTTATTATATTTGGAAAATATTTTACAAGGTCAACGGTTTCCGTTTTCAGTGCATACAGTTAAGAACTCTACGCCGTACTTTTTTAATCTGATCGATCTTCTAATCGAACGTTCTGATATAACAGTAAGAAGAAATAAAAGAAATGTTCGTTAATGTGTTATTTGTATGTTAGTTGTTTGTTAAATTGTTAGTGTGAGAGAAATTCTATAAAATCTATAAAAATTATCAATGAGCCAAACTGATTTGAATGCACTTATTTCGAAATTTATTTCGAAAATAACGTCCAATAAAATGATTGCCATCAATTGCAATGTGTATCACTGTATGTATTTTTATATAGATAGCAATAATAATTCAAACACTTGAACCTTCACTAGAACAACGTTTTTAACTGAAGAAAACTCAGATTTGTCGAGGAGAGAAATGCAATAAATTACGAAACAGTAACGTATAAACCAGACCTCAGTAAAACAAAATTATGAAATGTTACGTCACATAGTTTCCAATACAAAATGTAATTGTTAAGAGTGCATTTTTCAGAACAATTCCTGAGTAAAAAACACTTTGCAATGAAATTGTTACAAATTTGGTGTATATACTCTTAAATACCTAATCACGTATAGTTTTTCTATATAGAATATTTAGTTTCATCTTATCGATAAATTATGATTATTTCTTTCACAAAATTTTAATTTCAATCGAATTTTGAAACTATACCATTTTGTTGTTTCAGTAACTGTATATTTTTTGTGTATGAAGAAATAACTACGAGTAAAACGAAAGGAAAAAGTTAAGTAAATAAAGTACATAGAACAAGTAAAGAAAGTAAAAAGTAAAGTAAATGAAGTAAAAGGAATATTCGTGTTTTCGTAAAATATAAAATTTGTTTAAACGCAACACTGCAAGCAATACTGCACTGTGAATGTGTATAAATTTTGTTCGAAAGGATTAAAGGCGCCGGGATAAATAAAAATTCATTTCAATTTGCGTACACGGCAACGACGATCCTCATACGACTTTCCCCGTCGAAATAAATTAGCTTTTTCGAGAAACGATCCTTGATCCATGCACGGCTTCACACATTGTTTTCGCACATTGCTCGTGAACGCGCGCGTGTACACGCATCATACACGCCTTTTTATTACGTCTCCTTTTTTCCCTTCTCACTTCTTCTATTCGCTGTTGAAATACGTAAATGCGACCTGGCAGCACTATTCTGTCACTCACAAGTGGTACCGTAAATATTTTTCTCTTGTGTATACACATTCCATGTATGTATATTCCGGCATTGTTTTGTTCAGACGAATTGAAATGAATTGAAGACAAATGAATACGTAGCTTGGAATTATTTGAAAAATTATTGCTTACTTATATATGTAAAGCATTGTACTTTGTAAATTACAATATGTGCGATCACGCATGTAAATAACACAAATGCATACATTATACATTAAACGACTTAAATAAACGAGATTCTTTCTAAAAAGCTGAGATTTTTCATGCTGTATTTTTCTATTTCTTTTTCTTCTTATTTATTTTGTTAGTATATATAACTATCAATAATTATATACATTAATTTATATTTGTCTCGACTATCATATTGATGGCATGAATTCATAATCGATAATATTCTTGTCATACTTTTACTTTTAAATTATTAATTTTTACTAATTTTCTCTTCACAAGAGAAAATATTTTAAGCCCTTTAATATATATTAAACTTTAACTTATTCCCTGTATAGGATATTTTACTCTTCTACGGCATACTGAAATAATTTTTACGTGCAAAGAATTATTATTATATTATGATTATATTATCATAATGTTGTAATATCGTGCGTCAGCATAAGGATCTCAAGCGCAAATAGCCAAGTACGGGACTTGGTGACGTTGCATTTAACGATGATCGATGGAACGCAGGCACCATTAGCATAGAAATGATTTCGAGTCGCGGCATCGGAACGCCGGTCTACCATAACTGTACGACAACACGGCGAATTGGGATAGACTGGAAATATTGTCGTTTACCGCGGATACATGAGAGCGAGTGCGGGGAAAAAAGTAAGAAACTGTGACAACCGGTCGCAATCTGTTCGCCGCGCGATTGGGAAACAAAGCGCGGCGCTGCCGAACCGTTCTCTCTCTCTCCCTCTCTCCCCGTGACCGATCTGTCCTATTAATCCGCAGATGCGACCTGATGGAACGGCGTCGGTCATTAGGCTAAATCGATATGCATTTTAAAGCAGCTTATAGACCTCTTCGCCCCTTTCCCGCGGCGGAGAGGGCGGCGAACGAGGGGGGGAGGAGGGGTGGAAAAAAGTGCGAAGAATAGTCTGTTATGCGTGAAACCGATCTCGCGTGTGCGTGGAACGGGCGGCGACGATTGGTCAGATCGACAATGGATCCCATGGCTTGTACGCCATTGGTCAGGATTTTCGGAGGGTTAGACAGCGGAGAATAGGGGGATGATACGGGATGAGTCGTCCACGACACGAGGGGACGTGAGGAATAAGCGTTAAGTAGGGGGCGAGCCACACCGTGTCGAGAAAGGGCCATACGCGCAGGCGAGTAAATGGCTACTTATTCAAGCTGCGAGAT